AACATATGCCTTATCGATCATATTTGCGTTGTGCTTTTTGTGTAAGGACAAAATCATCAAAGTTTAGAATACTGAATCATTTACAATCCTGCCACAAACAACAAATTGGGCAAAGTATCCAAGTATCAGATTCAAACAATCCCTTCTTCAAGTGCATGTATTGCGAAAAGGAATTTTGTACTCAAACTCTCTATCAAAATCATCGATCCCAATGTATATTAATTCGTCGCAATGCAAAAACCGATGATATAATTGCCAAAAATTCTATTTTACTCGAGCATTTAAAAGAAGCTAGTGAACGCATAAAACGTATTATGCAAAGCATGTAATTACTGCAAAACTTTATATATTTGTGTAGGTTATTATAAAAAAATATATAAATAAATAATTTTAGTACAAAGTTAAGATAATATCACGAATCTATGTGTGTGTTAAGTACAAATGTACATAAGAATATATGTAAAGCAAATTTTAAAAAGCCTACTTCTTAAATCCTTTATATAATAAAGTAAAGACTATCATTTAAAAAGAAAACATAAATATTTGAAATTTATTTTGAAATCCTAAAAACGGCATAGAATTGATGTTTTATCTTATCAAACACTGATTGCAAATTTATGTTTAGCTATTTATTGATTATACTATTTCATAAATTTGGTTTTTTTTTTTTGCTAAGAGGCAAACTATATCATTCCTAAGTATTTTGACTCTCCAAATTTAAAACTGTTAAAAATTTAGATTCTTCTTAATTTATACATAATAACATCATCAGCGTTGCAGCTCGGGGTGTTTTAGCTGCATCAACCAGCTTTCTGCATTCTGCTGTTCTTTTAAACCTTCAATTTTGGATATTCATTTTTCTGATGTCATCGAGCCACCTTATACGTGGCCTACCTCTGCTGCGGTCGTTATACGGCGCGAATACATAAATAAATAAATATTTTAAGCAAATACGTCGTAAGATAAAGTATTTAATTGATATTTTAGTAAAACACCAATTTACGTTTTTATATGGAAAAAATTAATCTTTCAAAATTACTTTTACACATTTACAGTGAATAATAATTAACATTTTGACATAACAAATTATCCTTAACAACATAAACATGACATAATATAATTTACTTCTTTAAATTTTCGAAATATCACAAAACTGTCATTATTAATTAATATTTCCATATTAAACAAATAGTATTTTGCTTAAATATGTTGTCTAAAAAAAAATTTACTCTGCCTAGCTACCTGCTACTGTTTTTGTAAAATGAAAAAATACAATTCAAAGTTATTATTCTTTGTGAAACAAAATAGGTGTTATTTAGAATATATTTTATTTTATTTTATATAAAAAACTGCTATTGTTCTGAAAACTGATTGGCAGGATTTTTTTATCAATTTCGGATTTAACGATCCAAAATATTTTATAAATGATTTAGTTTGGTTGTTGATTTTAACAACAAATATTATCAAATAAAATAGTTTTGATAAAATTATTTGATTATTTATTATGGTCAGCAAATTCTTTTATGCATTTAAAACTGTTAATAGTGCATTAATCAAAGTTCTCATAATTTTTAATTATTTAATTCGTGTAGGATGCATGATATGGTTCCACTTGATTCTACATTGCTTAGCGCTATATTAGCCAAATGTGACTCATAGCGACGTAAACTTCTTTTTGCTGTTGATGTATATGTAGTTAAATTACGTAAAATCAATGCAGCAGTAAGGCGTATACTTTTAGTTACAGGACCTTCATTTTCATCCATTAATTCTTTTGAATTTACGAAGTCTGCTGTATGTCGCTTGATGGCTTGCATTGCTGAACTACCCGTTGATGGCAATGAACTGGTTGAAGAAGTTGAAAGTGCTGGTGAAGCGGTATTCCCACGTTGAGTTTGATCTAAGTTGCGCACTATTGTAACAGGAGATTGCGTAGATTGCACATTAATAGAACCAGTTGCAATACGGCGCTGAACAGCATTACGTAAACTTTCCTGAGTTAAGTGACGATCAATTATATGCGTCATAAGTGAATATCGTTTACGGGGCACACCATCACAAAGACTTGGGCCGATTCCCCATTGGCAGAATATTTCAGCGCCAGCATCTAAATGATCAGGACAATGTACAGTACATGCATGATGTTGTAAGTCATTTAAAGATTTGAATTTTTTTCGTGGACAATTACGCCAATCACAAACATACAACCAATTAATATCTACGGAAGACATGGAAGGTAACGGTGCTGATATGGGTGTAGAGTTTGCTGTTTGACTATTTATAACTGTTGAAGCAACTGGAGTCAAAACTGTGTTATTAACTGCTGTTGTATTTGATGTATTAGGTGTGCTATGTATAACTCCAGAAGTTTGATTTTGTTCGGCTATTAAGTTTGATTCATCTGGTTTTAACTGATTAATAAACTCTGCATCACTTACACTTACGTTCGATGTTTTGATGGTTGCTGTTGTTGCAATTGTAGTAGGAGTTTTTGTAGTTGTTATATTTGAATTTGTGGAATTTACAGCTAATGGGGGTGGTGGGATTAAACTAGTTTGCTTTAAAGTATTTGCTATTGACTGTGTTTGTTGTATTTGTATGACCGAAGAACTTTGTTTTTGAATTTGTGTGGTTCCTTGGGGAAGGATCGGCTTTTTAATAGTTGTAATTGTTGCTGACGTTGATCCAATTTGTGAAACTACACTCTGTATTGGTGTTTGTTGCTGTGGTGCAGATTTGGATTGTAACGTTCCCTGCATTAACGATGAGTTTTCATTTATCTTTAAAAAAATGGGACATCATATTGTTAAATTATACAATAATTTATAATATATTGTAAATACCTTTTGTGTTATTATTGTGGAGTTTGACTGCATTCCTGTATGCGTCAAGGGCAAAGTAATTTTTTGCTGTATTATGGAGGGATGTTGTTGCTGTTGTTCGATAACAGTACGTATCTGTTGCTGTTGTTGTGTTTGAGGTTGTGTCGTTATAATCGTCTGTGAGTTAAGTTGCGTTTGTTGCATTGAAGGCTGTGTCTGAGTAATTAGAGTCTCTTTTATTTCAATAGCACGTCCACCACCTAAAATTACCTGTCTTTTTTCTGCGGGGCCAGATATTATATGTTGCTGTATAATCGATTGATGTTGTTGTAGTTGTGGAATTTGTATTGGTGGTGGTGGGGTCGTATTTTGAACTATTGATACTGATTTCCCGATTCTCGAGATAGTTGCCGGTTGGTGAGTAAGTTGTTGGGACTGTACTGTGACTTGTGGTTGATGCAGTTTTATTGTTGCCGGTATATGATTCAATTGATTCAACAATGATGGTGATATCTGTCCAGCTTGTTGTGACGTAGTTGTCGCCTGCTGCGCTGGAGCAGTTTGAATGATTTGGCGTTGTATTATATTGTTATTGGATTGCGTTTGAGTGGCACCAGGCGGTAAGTGTTGGATATGAGTTGTTGCTCCAGTTTGTGGATTTATAAAAATTTGTTGCTGTGTTGGAGTTCCTATTTGACCATGGCCTCGTTGAGTTACAATAACTTGTTGACCTTGATGTGTCGTCATAATCATTTTTGGTGCATTGGCTGTAGTTGCAGTAATAATTTGTTGTTGTTGCTGTGATGCGGACGATGATATCGGTTGTTGCTGTAAAATGATTATTGTTTTAGTGCCTGTACTTTGTTGTTGTGCTGTTTGAGTTACAAGCACAGTTTGAGTAGGGGTTGTTGGAGGGTGCGCAGGTTGTGCTTGTTGAGCTACTAAATACGTTTGCCCATTTGGATTTGTAGCAAGTACGTACTGCGTCGGCGGTGTAGAATGAGGTGTAGTTTGCTATAAAACAAAAAAAATTAAAAATCAGATTTTACATCTACCACAAGTATAACTTTATTAATTTATCTTAAAAAAATCTATAAAAATTGTAAGAATTAAAAGAATTATACTTGTTAAGCATGCATATAGCCAAAAGATTAAGATCAGTATGGATAATATGATTAGTTTAAATTTATATTATACTTTATCGGAATAGATTTCCTTTTATAGATAAAATTAGGCTGGAATAGCGATTTTGCTTACCAAAGCCCACTTCATATTCTCTTTATATAAAAAACTATTCAAACCTGCATAACTTGTTGTATTATTTGTGGTGGAGGCTGTTCAATAGGTTTTTGCTGTAATATAACTGGGACAGTTTGTAGACCTTGTTCTGTTTTAATAGTAGCCATGGCTGTCGGCATATGTTGAGGCGTTGCTTGTGTTAATTTTAATTGTGGTGGTTGATTTTGAAACATCAGTTGACGCTGAACAGTTTGCAACGACGTATGTTGCACTTTTGCTGGAACAATTAATGATGGTTGCGTATTTTGTTCGGGTAATTGCTGTTGTCCTTGGGGTTGTGGAAGAAATGGTGGTATATCATCAAGTTCTTCGTCTTCTAAAATAGATGCAGCCATTTCGGCATATAAATTTGCCGCATTTTTTGAAGGCGTAACATTTTGTATTTCATCTCTAGCAGATTCACTACTGTCAAGAGCTAACCTTTTTGCTTGTTCATGTCCAATATTTGATGTGTCTTCTATTTTACGTTTTATTATCGTAGTTGGGATTGGTGGATCCAATAGTTTTTTATCAAGTATTTCCACTAACATTTGATTGGCTATAATTACAGATCTTCCACTGGAGTCTTTTGCAACATTATTCCCACTTAATGGAGCTAAAGGTGGTGGAACTGAATCTGTAATTGTTTTTTTTTCTAAAGACACTTGTGGATTAAGTGGTTTTATAGTAGTTTGGCCAACTTTAACAGGTGTATTTTGCATTAAAGGGTTATTAACAAGTTGACTAATCGCAGTGCTAGTAACTTTTATGGGCTGTTGAGAGGTCGATGCTGCTGTTGTTGGCATTTGAGAACTTATTTGTACACCGTTTGTTGCTGTTAGCTCCTTTTGCTTTTGTTGTCGCTGATTCACTTTATTAGCAAGTAAGCTTTTTATTAGAGATGATGATGGCTGGGCATTGCTTGTTTGTATAGTAGTTGTAGGGACTTCTTCTTTAACAATTGTTTGATGGATTGTTGATACAATATTTGAATTTGGCTGTTTACCTATATGGAAGAATTAAAATATGATTATGGTAAAGTATATATTCAATATATTTATTTACTTGTTATTTCATCTGTCTGTTTTGCTATACTTTCAGTTGAAGTTGCATTCATTGAATCTTGCATGATTGTCTCCGATTTTAGAGAACTTGGTAAAGTATTTGATTCTTCAATTTTTACAATGTTGTTTGAAGGTAATATAGCCGAATTTACACTGTTTTGATCTCCTGTTGAAACTGTAGAAATGGTATTGTTAACTTTTGTAGCTACTGCTGTTGTTGAAACTGCAAATGCAGTTTCGAATCCCACATTCAGTTGTTCTTCCTCGGCTTTAATTGGAGACTTTATTTCTTGTTGTTGAATTAACAGCGGTTGGTCTTGTATCTTTAATTTCTTTTTAATTTTCCTACCCGAAGATAATTCATTTTTATTTTTATCAGTGCTTTTAGGCGGTGTTTGCGTCACTTTATTTTGAATTGGTAGAGGTTGAGCTCGTACTCGTATTGATATATAGTAAAATCCTGGCAATTCAGAACCGTCAGATCGTCGTACTATAGCGGGTCCCACAGTGTTTGTAAAAATAAGACGCACAAGCCGAGGAAATTGGACATGACCAACAACGGAATTCTTACCAGCCTTTTGACAATGAGATACATACATTCGGTAAAGTTCTTGTTGTTCGACCCGGCTATCATTTGTTCCTGCTCTTTCAAATGTTGCACTTAACCAAGCTAAAGCGTATTGTTCATCATCTTGTGTAAAATTTTGTATTATTTGTGGTTGTACTTGTTGAGTATCAGGAACTATTTGTTGTTGTACCTGATCACTCACCAAAAGTTGTGGCTTTGTTTGTAGAGGTGTAATATGATGAATCTGTTGTTTTTGTATAGCTGCATTTTGTAAATTTGCAATATTTTGTGCAACCAACGGTAACATATTTCCAGGCACTGTTTCAACAACACGCATTAATATGCAACCACCGGCTCCATATGATTGAGCTTCCACAGTAATTAGGGATACAAGTTGATCGACAAGGCCTTTCACTTGCATTATTAAATGACATGATCGAACACCAAGTGATGTCAATGCATATATTGCTTCCAGCGTAAATATCAACATCATAATATCATTAAGGCACAAAAGCATGCACAATTTCTCATAAAAATTTATATTAAGACATTTATGTATATAATCCTCATTATTATCATTGTGACATAATTTATAAAGTATTTCCAAACTACTTATAATAACGCAACGATCATCACTTTCTATACCTTCGGAAAGTGTTTCCATTAAACTACGAGATAAATCGTCTAACGAAGGGTCAATTAAATCAAGTTCAGAAGCTATATTGCCGGCTATATCAAGCGCTTGGCTATGTATATTACCTTAATGTAAAAAAAACAAAAAAAAAATTATTTTAACTTAACAATTAAATTCAAACTTACCCCATCGCGTATTTGCACACATAACAAGAAAACGCAATAAAGTACGATTTTTGGCGAAAATAAATAAATTTTCCTCATGAAAACTTAAATTTCGTAATATAGATAATATTTGTAATACACGTTGACCAACGTAATCTTGTGTACCAAGTCCACGACCTAAGTTAAGGAAGTCCATGGAAAGATTTTCTTCCAACCCTGCAGTTGTCTTGAGCAACTCAATGTCATCTTCTTCGCCAATTATGCCAGCTTGTCGAAGTGTGTTCTCATCTCTATATAATTCTAATATTTGTGGTTTTTCATAAAGCAAATCTTGCCAAAAATTGAATAATGAATGTCTTCTAACATCCATGTACACAAATTGAAATAATTTACGCATAGAGTAGTCAGGATACACTCCTGTATGTGCAATTAATGCATCTATTAACTTAGGAAATTCATTTACTTTTAAGGTATGTTTCATTTCATTCGCCATTAGCGTACAAGCATTTATAGCAAAGTCTTGTTCATTTGGTAACGGTGATAATAATGATAGCATAAGTTTTTCATATGGTGAAGATTTATATAGATTTGTTGATAACTTATGCACACGACGCCTTTCCATATTAACTATATGTTGCCGATAGTTATATGACATGGGAACAGTGTTATACCCACTTGAGTTTTGAAAGATCGAGGGATATCGAGATCTTGAACGGCCACTGTCGAGTAAATCAGTCGCTTCTAAGGCTTCAATTTTATCTGGATCTTCGCCAAAGTAATTAAGTCGTTCATATTTCTCAAGAAATCTTCTATAAATGTGCTTTAGAGCAGCAGTAGCATTAACGCATTTATCATGAAGTTTACTAACTATAGGTAAAACGTCTTCCCATTCGTCACGTAAATTTACTTTTGAGAAACCACCTCTCTCAATTACTTCAGTATATAACATATGCAAATTTATTTCACGGCCACTTATTTTTGGCGTATGCATAATAGGAGTGCTATAAATATTTAATAATGAATTGAAATGAGTGATTTTTTAACCCACAGACTTACCCCCTGCGATCATGGAACTGTTGTAAGTCTTTATAGAACTCATCCGGCGCTTTGATAGGCATTTTACCTTTAACGGAATGTGTAACATTTTCCAGTTTTTCATTATTTACAAATATATCCCGAGACGAAGCAGGCGGTCTGCCTCTAGCTGGTGTAGCATTATTTTGTGATTTTGCCGGTGAGCTTATAGTGTTTTCTATAGCGGGCAAAGGCTGCAATGCCTTAACAAGTTCATGGACCGACATATCTACTAATTTATGATAAATTTATCAAGTTTTTATATTTTTGTAGCACAAAAAAATGGTACCAAAAACTATTCATGTAAGTCTGCCGCGAAATAAGAAAGCGTAATGGTGGTGGCCTTGCTAACATATAGTGTTGTAAAGTGCAATTTGTTTTGTAATAAGTGCTTTGATTCGTACATTAAGTAAATTAATAGAACGAACATTATCGACACAACAAATTAATAAGGGTATTCAAGAGCTTCGTGCATCGTCGCATGTGCAAAATTGTTTGATTTTACAAAAACAGTTCCCTTTGTTTTGATTCTGCAATTGATTTCCAAGGCAATACGCAAGACTATGTTTTCGATACCACTTACCTCTTGCATATGTGATTTTCACGACTCTATTATGTATGATACTATTTTTTTACAATACTTTAGCCAATACTTTAGCGAAACTGTTAAGTTTTGTTGACAATTGTTTGATTTTGAATCTATTTTACGTCCAAGAAAGTACTATATTATACATATAAATGCACAAATCTAAATTACCCAATAATTCTGCAAGAGCAAAATCTAACACAATATTCAATATATTCTGCTTTTCACTTTTTCTTAGTACCGCTAAAATTATGCATATCGAATCTGAGTTATATTTTATAAGTAAGGCCGTGTGGGAGTTCCTATAAATTGGGGTAAAGTAAATTGAAATTTCCTAGCGATTTTTTGCACTGCACCTATGTAAATATTTTTTTATTTATATATTTTAAATATATACCTATGTATATATTTATTTATTTATTTAAATATTTATTTATTTATTTATTGCATTTATTTATTTTTTTGGGTTAAAAGTTTTCAAATTTATTATTTTATTTATTTATTATATAAAATTTTCACAATAGTCAAACTTAATTTACCTAATTTTTATCTAATTTACCCTACTCGAAATTCTGATAAATACCAACATTTGCTGCCATATCAACATAATTTAATTCCTTAATTTACCATCAATTTACTTGAACTCCCACAGGGCCTATATAAATATAAAAACAAAAATCAGCTTTTCTAAATATTTGCAAGATTAATATACACAAAATGCATTTACAATTATTTGAGTTTGCAATGATGCACATTCAACGACCTTGAATACCCCTAATAGAGATCTTGAATACTTCTAATATAAATTTTAATCACTATCTTTATTAAATATTTTGTAATAATAGTGCACTTTTGCTGCTGTACATTTTTAACATTTTGGAATTCAAAATAAAATAAGTTTAATTTTGTATATTTTACTTAAAGTTAATTGTTGTGGATGTTACAGTACGTTTATTCTATCGCAATTAATTCAATTAATTTGTCATTTAAAGTTACCATTACTATTTACCATATTTCCAACAAAATTGATCAAAATTGTGGTAGTGAGTGTCAATTCTAAGTGTAATTATAACAGGTATTCAGACCCTGCTCGATAACTTGGTATTCGATAAAGTAATAACGTCTGATGGGTCTCTTTAATTATTTCTCGGCAAATTAGTTTACCGAATACTAGAAAATTATCAGACGTTTTGTCTTATTAATTCGTTAACTTGGTAACACTGTCATTTATTTACCGAGTACGTATGAATATCTATATAATAGGTCATTTCAATGAGCTACCCATAGTAACTTTGAGTAACAGTGTGATTACACAAGTACGTTCCATCAGCAAATTTTCGATTAAATGAGAGCATCTTTATTTCAAGTAAAATTTGTGTTGATGTATGAATCAGCCTTTTTGGTTTGAATTTAAATTTTTGTATTGTTTATTTGCGCGGACTGGTGTTCTTCACCAGCTTTACACAAACCGGTCCATGGAAATCTGTGTAAAGAGGTAATTTGGCACTTAATTTGTGTTACTCTCAATTTGTACTTTACTTGTGTTTTACTTAAGTTTTACTACGAATATCTTGTGGAATGAACCTTATGTAATAGTATTTTATTATAATATCAATTAATGCATTTTCTCAATTAACTCAATTCAATTAACTTCAACAATTAGTTTAACTTTCAATACACACAATTCTGCAAAATAGTGCGTAGAAAGAAAACAATTATTTAGTTATTGCCTCCAATTGGGAGAAGAATGCTTCCATATATTTAAGTGTGGCCGCCATGCATGCAAATGTTTATAAAAGAAATAGAAAATACGACGACATATTACTTATTCCAAGACTTGTA